CACACGTGCACACAGACCTTCATTTGGGAACCTGTGCAGCTCAGCAGAGCGTCCACAGGACTCAAGGGGAGCTGTTCACTTGCTCTGAAATAAGCTGAAAATGAGGAAGGTGCTGTATGGCCTGCAGCTGTGGCTGGGAGGGTTGCAGAGCCTGGGAACAATAATGTGGAAGAAACCCAAGTTGGAACAGTCTGTGCTTTAAGGCACCATCCGTGCAAAGCCTCTCCTACTTGTTAGGCTTAGTTGTGCTAGAGATAATTCCTTCTGTGGGAGGCACAGGGGTCTGGCTTGGGAGTTTTGTATTTTCCTTAACAAAGTTGATAATGTTTGGGAAGTGATGAATGTTTTGGGGAACTCTGCAGGGAAACGGGTCCGTCTGCAAACCGTTGGTGAAAGCAGAGCTGCTCTCTCTTCCCACTGCCCTGTCCCGTATGGGCCCATCGGTGCTGGGAATAGGGACATTGTTGTGCTCTCTGAGTTTTGGCAACCCCCAGGGTGGGTTGGCAGCTGGTTTTGCTCTTTTGCTGAGCTGGAGGGGCTTGGGATGAATCTTCAGCAGCGGGAAAAATAGGAAGGAGCTGTCTTTTGTCCATGCTGAGCAACGCAAAGCTGAAGCATACTCACAGTTCACTTGGAAACAAAATTTAAGCAGGAGATTTTGAATGTCGATGTGAGCAGAGGGCCAGGGAGTCCTCTTTGCTCTGCCAAATTTTTCTCACTCTATTTACTCTAATTACCTTCTCTATCCTTCCACCTCCTCTGTTGCTGCCGAGGGACACGGGTTGGGGTTGCTCTCCTGTATGGGTGCAATCCCCAGCCCACCTTCTTGCTTAATCCAGTGGAGATTTTGATTCCTGTTCTCGGTTAGTTGGAAAGTGACCTTTGTGTCTTGCTTTTTTCGTTAGGTACTTTTGTTAGAGCTCAAGAGAGAAGAAGGAGAGGTGGCTGAGACGTGGAGATGGCTCTGCCTGGGGAGTAGTGAGAGTGCTCTTGTTCTGGTAGAGGGGAGGGCATGGTGGGCAAAATACCAAAGCAGTAGGTGTCCATCAACCCAGCGGGGCAATGGGACATGTTATGTTTCCAAGCTCTTCTTTGGAATCAGGGGAGTGATAAATTATTTTTTTTTCAGTTGAGAGCAGCTGTGGATCTGCTGAGTGTAATAAAGTGTTCCTGCTTGGAGCTGGCTCCCTGTCTGCGTTTTCCCCCCACAACACTGGGCAGCACAGGTCCTGCAGTGGTGCTAAAAGGACCTGATTCTGCTTGGTTCATGGTGCCTGTGGCTGGAAGGGTGATGCAGGTGGGGAAGTGAGCCAGAATTGTTCATTTTTGTTTTTCTGCCCTATTTTGGTCTCGAGCAAAGCAGGGCAGTGGTGTGTCATTTCCTCCCAGCAGTGCCACCACAGGCTCTGCACACAGCTGCTCTGTGTCGCAGTGTTCCGTACCACTCTGTGCTTCCTGTCCAAGGACACCCTACTGTCAGAGCTGTGCAAAGGGAGCCTTAATGCCAAAGGCTTGGGGTGCAGGAGGCAGGAAGGGATCTGCAATGGAGCTGTGCCATGGGGATGGGACTGGGATCCCCGGTGGTGCTCCATGTGAAGGTGGGACTCAGGAATGGAATCAGAAAGCTTGTCCTTTAGATAAGCTCTGCTTTCCTAGCTCAGAGGGCAGCTGACCATGCATGCATGTGCATCAGTGAGGCTTTAAACCAGCAAGCAGTTCCATTTCTCTTTTGGCTCATAGAATAATGGAATTATTGAGGTTGGAAAAGACCTCCAAGATCCCCAGGTCCAAACCCAACCCATCCCCACCATGCCCACTCATAGAATCATGGAATCACTAGGGTTGGAGAAGACTTCCAAGGTCAGCAATCCAACCCCATCCCATCCCCCTGTGCTCACTGATCGTGTCCCCAGGTGCCACATACCATGCTGTGTGCAGCCCAGAATTACACTGGTTGCACTCCTTACGCCAACCAGGAGCTCATTTCAGGCTCCTTTGCTGGAATCTCACGGCCTGGCCACTGGATTGCTTCTGGAATGGTGGGGAGCACTCTTGTTAAACAGTCATTAGGCACTGAATTATTGAGCGTTGCAGTCCCTGCAGCAGCAAACAGCAAACACTCAACTTACAGTTGTCTCACCTGGGTAGCACGTGTGGGGCACTGCCGACCCAGTGGAGCCCAGAGGCAGGATAAATCTTCTGTCGGTGCCCTAAGAAAGAGTTATGGTTATTTGGTCATTGATGTCCTTGTGCAGTGAAGGGTGTATGCTGATTGCTCAGCTGCCCAAGAACAATGGGGTTTGGGCCACCTGTGCTCGGTGCACTTCCCACCTGCCCTTTTCATGCTCTGTGCCCAGCAGCAGGACCCAGCCTTGCCACTCACCCCTTTGCAGCTGCATCTGTCTCTCTGGTGGGAGCCTGTGCGCTGCAACTATTGGACCCTGCACTGCTTATGCATTAGAGGGTGCTGGGCACTGGATCTCTCCAATTTGTTCTGTGGTCGTTGTGGGGACAGCCTTGCTTCTCATGGCTCCTTTGTTGCTGGCTGGGAGGAGAGCTCTGAAACTCATCAGCCACGCAGACGGAGAGGCAGAGGAGTCATTTGGTTAAGTCATGGGATTCTCTTTTGTTGTTTTGAGACAGCCATGGGGCAGAGGAGCCTGTAGGGCTTAGAGCTCTGAGTGCAACAATTATAAGTTGGGGCTATTGAGCAAACTCTGCATAGCTGTTTTTCTTCTTTCGTAGTTTCAGCTATACCTTTTAATTAATTCCCTTTAATTGCTTTTAATTTCCTTGCCTCCCCCTTTCTCCCTCAGTATAAGCAGTGCTGTCATCCTCTCCGATTGCCTTTCATGTTGGAGGCTCCGCGTTTGATTTCACATCACCCACGTTGTGTCTCTCAGCTATTCAATTCCTGGAAAGCTCCAGCTCCAGAGATGCAATCTAAGTGGATTCACAGAACCTAAAGGGATCGTATGCTTCATGGCTTATGTTGAGATAGGAGATAAACCAAACATAACGAAAGATCCACCCTCCTTGGACAAGGGCTGCTTTCCATCACCTGTGCTTTTCCATCTTTGTGCTGGGGGCTGCTCCATTGGGATGAGCTCCTGGGCACCCCAGTACCGCCCTGCAGGAAGGCAGCACATCTCATTCCCTTCTGGCTGCTGGCATTCCCTGCCAGCCAATGGGCTTAGGAAGGACTGCAGGACAAGATGTGCAGGTATGTGGCTGGATGAGAGAGACATCTTTCTACCAGCCCGTCGTTAACACGTTGACATTTGTCCCTGATAACTCTTGGTTTTAACGTGCACGAAAGGGCACGGTGCCTTCTGGTGGAGGTACTTTCCAGTCCAGTCGAAAACAAAACCAGATGAAAATGCTGACAGACGTCTTGGGTCCAGCCGTCAGCAGTGGATGTCGGCGTCGTCGCTCCGTGGAGCCTGGCCAGCATGCTCCATCTGATGATGCCTCAGGGCTGGGAATTGGATATATAGGTTTTCTATACCATTGTTTTTCTTTAGAGTAGTCACTGTGCTGTCTAATCTACCCTCAGTTCCTGCTGCTCCTCTCTTTAGAGTGGTGTTTAAGCACAGCACGCCCCTTTGCTTTCCATGCTTCAAAACCTCCTTGGCATCTTTCCTGAAGGACTGATGTTTCCAGTGCTATTGTTTAGTTGCCTCCAGGTGCTGCACCGAGGAGCTGCATTCCTACAGGGCTCCACTGTGGCTGATGTTGGGATCAGTGGGGAAGCTGATGGATTGGGGTTGGCCTAGATGATCTTCCAACCTTAATGATTCTTCAGAAGCTCTTGGCTGGGCTCCATCCGCTTGTGCTTGTGCTGGTAAAACCTGGGGGAGTTAAAGCTAGGAATGAGTCTTGGTGGTGACAGGCATCCCACCTGTGATAGGGCAGCGTATAGAGGCTGCTGGAGGAATTCATTTGGGCTAAACTAGATGCTAGAGTGGAAAGAAATGGCTGAGTTTGAGTGGAAACTGAGACAGTGGGATGATGGGTGTGAGAAGCATGGTCTTGGAGCCTCGGGGTGCCAAAAAGAGCAGCAGTGAAAGCAAGCGTCTCCCACTGAGTGGACTGATTCCGGCTCAGAATGGGTTATTGCTGCCCCATTAACAGCCTAATTGACTAAAGGCGGTAGTAACACAGCCTTGCCACATGCCCCCCCCCCCTCGAGGCAGGAGCCTGTTCTGATGGGCAAGGCATGGTGGGTCACAAGGAGGTGGGACACAGGGACGTGGTGGGACAGGAGGTGGTGGGAAATGGGGAGATGGGACAGAAGGTGATAGGACAGGAGTTGATGGGACACAGAGAGGTGGGACAGGAGGTGATGGGACAGGAGGTGATGGCAGATACTGGGTGCTGCTCTGGAAGGCACAGGCTCTGCACAACACGCAGCAGCTTAAGTTGTTTATGAGCTGGCTCATTTGGCTGCTGAGCTTTCCCTTTTGTAGGGCAGGATTGGTGGCAGCTGGGCTACCTGGGGCTCTCCTGTCCCCCGTTTTGTATCCCAGTGCTGGAGCAGCTGTGGAGCAGATAGTCACCGTGATGCACAATTCCTGCTCCCATCTCAACAACTAAAATAAAGCCAGGACCGTGGGTTGCCAAGGTCTCCCTGTTGCTATAGCAAGAGGGGATGGGGCTGAGCGCTGCCTGAGCTCCGCTGCCGCGCATTTCCCCGACCAACAGCTCCTAATTGCACCTGGAACGCGCTGCATAGATCACCTAATTAATATTTCATGGCCTTAAAAAAAAAAAAAAAAAATTAATTATCCAGGCATTTTCCCCTCGAATCAACCGGAGGATCTCTCCGGCTGGAACGAGTTTGCAGCACGAGTGGCGAAGTTACAATATTTATCTCCATAAACGTGTCACCTGAGCCACACTCTTCCTCGTGGGTAATTAGCAAGAGGCCAATCAGCGCCGTGCCGGGCAGACACCGGTTTGCCTCTGGGCGTGCCGAGGAGGTGATTTATGAGAGGGATGGAAGAGCTGTGGGTCTGGCCAGAGCTGTGAGCGAAACCGCGGCGGAAAAAGGGTGGGGAAAAAAAAAAAAACAAACAGCAACAAAAATAAAAACAAAAAAACCCCAAAACACTCAAGAAAAATAACCGAAACGTTTGCAGGGCTGTTGGCAGAAGTGCTGCCTGCCCCAGGAGCACCCACGGCAGGAGGCAGCGCTGGTAATTCCATCGCTGCGCCCGGGGACTTGGATGGGGTTGATGAGAATACAGGTGAGATGCAAACGTGTGTTGGGGTGGAGGAGTGATGGGAGGCGGGGGGGTGGGGGGTGGTACGTGCTGTCCCCTCCCCCTTTTTTGTGTTTTAAGTGTTATTTTTGAAGTTTAACCCTGTGCTGAACGCACCCTGGAAAGGAGCCTGTGTGATGTGTGGGGTGGAGGGGAGCTTTGGGCAGGGCTGTGGCTTGAGCTCGGGGCTGCATTTTGCATGTCAGATGCTGGCCAATGCACAGATGCATTTTGTTTGTTTGTTTGTTTGTTTTCCTTCTCCCTTCTCCCCATCACAGAACCTCAGTTTTTAGGGAAAATCTTGAAAGTGGGTCTGCTGAGCAGCACTGCAAGTTCTCTGAGCAGGCAGGGCTGTTGTCTTCTGTAGGATAATGGTCCTTGGGGAGGTTTTCTCTCCATCCTTGTGCTCCCCTTGCCCCAGCACTGCTCACAGTTGGGACGGTGCTTTCCTTGAGCCGTCCTCACAGTGTCTGAGCTCTGCCATGCCTTCATCTGATCATCACTCAGCGGTGATGGCAGAACGGTGCGGAGCAGTCCGAAAGGTTACATCCTGCTGTAAATGTCACGTCCTCTGCTGTTCATTCAGGGCTGATACTGATGTGGTTGTGCTCCCCGTGCCTCTGGGAAGCAGGAGGAGGCAGCTCTTGTTCTGCAGCATTGGTTCTGGCACTGTCCTTCCCCCTTCCCTTCCTTTCCTTTCCCTTCCCTTCAAAGAGGAATTCTATTTATTTCAGTCTAGTTCGTCTTCAAACCTCAGAGCTTCCTGCTGCAGGAAGGACCACTTTCTCATTTATTTATTTTTTATTTTTAAGACATGGGAGAGAAACATCAGAAGGTCTGCAGTGAAATGCAGTTGCGCTCTCAGAACCTCTTTGATTGCAGCCTCTAGAACTGGCACAAAATGCATGCAAAGTTCAAAGCAGCAGATGGCTGAGGTTCTTCTTGAATGTAAGGGATACTGAAGTCTGTTGTTATGGCCTTCACAAACTCTGTAGGAAGGGGTGATGGGTTTGCATGGGTGGCATGGAAGGAAATCAATGTCAGTGGATTTTGGAAGTGGAAGAGGGATGGGGAGGGGGGTGTAGGGCTCACCCCCATCTGCCAGGAGGGTTGAGCGAAGTGTTGTGCTCATGTTAATTTCTGTTAATGAGAAAGAGCGAGGAGATCCAGCTGCTTGGTGTTCGGCTGCAGAGCAGGTTTGGGTTATTGCAGAGCTGGAGCCCACAAGTTCTCTCATGCAGTGCAGTGTGTGAAGAACATCAGTCTGCTCACCGGGTTCCCCTTCCCAGCTAGAGGAGCCAGCAATGCTTTTCTTCCATGCTTTGGAAGAGTGGAGCTTCATGGCTTGAAGCTGCCAGGCAAAAATACAGGGGAATTTGCTACCTGCCCATTGTGGATGGTTGTCTGTGCTCCTTATTTTGCATGGTGTGTGTCCTCCCCTCCTGGCAGCATCCCTCATTCGCAAGGGTGCAGCTGGGCTCAGCGCTGCTGGGAGTGTCCCCTGTAAAGGAGCAGGCGGTGCTTTTCATCACTTCTTCCAAATGCAAATACCAGCCCATCCTGAGTCATGTGCAGAAGTGCAAAACAGGGATCCTCCTGTTTTCCTCCAACTGGCAGAGCTGAGGGAGTGGGTGATGCAGTGATCCGTGCCCAGTTCTGCACACACTGCAGGAGAAACCCGGTGCACAGAGTGGGGCAAAGAGGTGCGAGGGGAAACGGGAGCAGCATCAGCAGCTTGCTGAGCCAAGGGCCAGCTGGCAGCAACGGGGGTGAGTATGGCTTTTACAAATGTGCCTCAGGTGGGAGTGAGTTGCTGTGTGATGGAAAATAGGTGCAAGCCCAGCAGTGTGGTGGGGGATTGCCTGCAGGCTGTGCCATCCCCTGTGCATTGGTGCAGAGTGAGTGCACAGCTCCTGAGGGTGCTGTGCTGTGCAGCTTAGCCTTGGTGCAGCAGTTGCTTAAAGCTTTTGCAAATGGGAAACTGCTGTGAGGATCACCTCCGTGCAAGAGGTGCTGGGAGCAAAGTCCTGGCAAAGAGAGGTGTCGATGGTGCAACCATGTCGATGGTATGGGTATGGTTGCTGGCCTCCAGGTTTGGGCTGGGAGAGATCATTGCCAGGTGTGACCGTGCTCAAGAGAAGCTGCTTTTTTTCCATTCTGAAACTGCAAGTGACAATCTCTGACACTGCCCCCTCCAAAGGGTGCCCCGAAGTGGCACCCTTTAACTCACCCCAGGCTCACATCTGCAGACATCTGTCCAATTCAGCTGGTGGGAGCTGAGCTTGGCAGGGTGCCTCTGTCATTTCTGGAAAAATCCCCTCTTCCTACCACCCTGGGAGTGCTGGGTTAACATCTCCCTGCTGCTGACCCACCAGGGAGACAACGCTGTTCTTGTGTTTTATTTTATGTTGATATTAGAGACATCCTTTAAAGCAGTGTCAGCTCACAGGCCGTCACTTTTGTGATTGACAAAATGCTCACCACTTACCTGGGATGTATTTGAGAGCAGCAAGGAAGAGGCTATTTTAAAGTAGTAAGTGAGGGCTTCATTAATTTTCATTATTTGCGTAACAGCATCCCCTAATTAATAGGTTTTGGGCAGCCTTGGAGCTAGCACTGGAGTGGGGTCTCCGGCGATGCCCTGGGAGAGGGGTTTTATTGTTGGGAATGGCAGCTTTGCTCCATATTTTGGTAAATCTAGCAAGCAGAGGGTGTCTGAGGCAGTGCTATGGGGCAGAATGCACCTTTCCTGAATCAAGGATCTTCCTTTGGTTCCATCTCTGTTTCTCTCTCCTGTTCTATGCTGCAGTTATGCAGCATTTGCTATAACAGCAGCATCGGGTTGCATCAGGTGGCATGGGATACAGGGCTTGGTTCAAAGCAGAGGAGAATAGCTGCTACCTTTTGGAGTGGGAAGGAGATAGAAGGCTTCACTGCGCTCCCTGAGCTTCCCACAGCAATAACCTGCAGAGCTCTTGCAATGTGGCCTTGGGTCTGCATTGGAATTCACACCCACTCATCCCAGCGGGGACCCTGGGGCTTTGCTTTTCTTCTGGTTAATCCAATCCTTCTCCACAAAGGAAAACTTCTGATGTCCGTCCTTGTATTCATTCGTTTTTCCACCAAACTCTTGTGAGGTTCAGTGTGCTTTGAGCTCCTGTAGGTATTTCTGGGAACTGAGAGGGTTTGGGGCTGTGCACTCAGGATCGCTCATGGGTGCCTGGGAGCCCACAGCTTGCAAACTTCCTTCAGGTGAGATAAACCTGATGAGCTGAGCGAGGCATCGCTGACAGACAGCAGCTGTTTTGGAAATGCATGACAAAGAAGCATGGGTTTCATAAGTTAAAATGTGTATTTTTGTTCCACGTGCCACAGTATCACATTGCCAGTAGCAGCCTTCAGAGGAGGAAACGTGATTTGGCTAAAATTTCTGGGGTGAGGCAATAAAATTAACCTCCTATGCAAGGAACTGGTATTCATGAAGCTCATTTGTTTGGATGCAAATCACTGCAGACCTTTCCCTGATACGGTGGGGAAAGGGGAGCTTTCATGAGCCTCGCATCCGCTCCACAATGGAGCTGCTGAGTGGATTAATTGTGATGCAAGAGCAAAATGCCCTATTAGAGACCATTTGTATTCCATTATATCTGCGGACTGCTGCTCTTTGGATGGAATCTTGACACAGCTCTTCAGATGCTGCTTACCAGAAAGTCCATTTCTATAATACCTTCAAGAATGGCTCATGGCACACATACCCAGGAGCACTTTCCCAAAGCCTTGAGCTTTTCTTTTCTTTCTTGCAGAAACAAGCCAAAGAAGCCTTTAATTAGCGCCTTTAATTAGAAGGTGGGGCTCCCATTTTGTATCTTACCTAAGGGACTGCATGGGCACCTAGTCTTGCAGATGTCACCTTAGGGCATTGCTTCAGTGCTCACCAGTAGTGTCTTCTTCATTGTGTTGTTTTTTTGGGTGGGGATTTTTTTGTTGTTGTTTTTTGGGTTTTTTTTTTTTGCTTTGGTTTGATGATTCTTACTGAATAAAAGCCTAGATCTGGTTTTGTACCAACAGGTTCCCAGTTTAAGTTCCAAGAGAAAAGGAGCGGCTTCCTAAGGACTGTTGGAGGCTGGGATGTTGACTGAGCTTCCGGAACTGGGAGTCAAAACCCCACAGAAGGGCACGGTTAAAATGCAGAGCTGTATGCAGAGCTGAACGCAAAGAGGCTTGTTGCTCTCCTATCCCTAACCTCAGAAAGTGAAGAGGTAAAGAGGTCCAGAGAAAGGACAATGAGAGAGAAAAGCAGAATAGAGATCGATGTTTTTCTATTGCAATCATTCTTTTCTGCAGCTGTCTCATAAAAGCAGTGGCGTTTTGTCATGTTTTGTGCTTTATGCCTTCAGTGACTGTGCTGGGATACCTGCCTTTATATAGTGGACAATGGCAGTGCTGTTGGCATTGAGCTGCATCCTGAGCCGTGCTGCACCTCATGTGGATTCACATTAAATAAATAGAAGGAGCATCCAGCCTACAAGAGCCGTGCTGTGCAAGCAGGCGTATAAACACGTCAGTTATTCTTTGGTGTTCAGTTCAGTGCACGCTTCTCACTGGAGAGGAGTTGGTATTTCAGACCTCCTGTAGCCCTGTTTGGAGTCTTGGTGTAGGGGGCAAGGATATTTTGGGTTTGGGTTAGACCCTTTGGAAATCTGGGAGGGTAGAAAATAGTGGTGTGTTAGATTTTTCTTTGCTTTGTCACTGGTACCAAGTGCTTTCAGTATGAGGAAGTCTCAGTGCTAAAAAGTGAAACAGAAAAACAAATCTCAGGTAGGATAATGAGGATGTGAGGATGTTAAGTTGCAGTGCAAAGGACCAGGTAGTTGGGTTTGTGCCGTTGGACAGAGTGGGTACGTTGCTGCTGATGCTCTGGGACAGGTCCTTCTGCCCCTGGCTGGCTTACTGAGCAGCTCTTCACTCCATCTGCCACCCCTGAGAGGTCATGCCAGAATGGTGACAGTTAGGGACATGGCAGTGGGTTAGTGGGCATGGCAGGGGTGTGTTGGGGTTGGACTTGGTGAGCTTGGGAGTCTTCTCCAACTGCAGTGATTGTATGATTCTGTGAGCCAGGCTGGAAGCAGGTTGGAACAAAGTTGATAAGACAAGAGCTGATGGTCTGGTTGCACCAGAAAAGGTTCAGGTTGGTTATTGGGAACAATTTCTTCTCCAAAGAGCAGCGATGCATTGGCGAAGGCTGCCCAGGGAAGTGGTGGGGTGCTCATCCCTTCCAGAACCATGGAGATGTGGCACGTGGGGACGTGGTCAGTGGGCATGGTGCGATGGGTTGGTCTTGGGAATCTTGGAGGTCTTCTCCAGCCTTCACGATTTGATGATTCTAAAGCTCGATGCTGCATTTTTTTCCTGTAGATTCTGTCTATCCCCATTGGCTTGAAGCCTGCGAGCACGGTGTCTTCTAGAAGCACGGCTGCAGGAGCTCCAGCCCTTTGGTGGGCACTGCAGCTCTCGCGCTGCGTCCCCCTGCCAGCTGATGAAAGCCGGCTGGAGCGCGGCTACAGCCGTGTCCCCAGATCCTTCACCAGGGCCTTGGGCTGACACGTGCACCCATCAGCACGGGTATTACTCATCTGAAGAGCAGTTCTAGACAATACCCTTGGCTGTCATTGCGGCCTGTTCTTCTCGTGCCCCCGAAGCCTTGCAAATCACTCACGGCTTGACATGGCCGTCTGCGTGTATGTGAGGAGAAACCTACTGAGAAGTTGTTTTAATTAGATGTTAGTGCTAGCAAATAAATAATGTTCCCTCTGCATTGTGCGTGGGGAGACGGTTTTCTCCCGTGCCTTCAAATCTGGTGATTAATTATAACCATTAATCCCCATGAATGACAGCAGTGTATTAGGAGCAGAGCAAATGTTAAAGTAATTTGAGAGGCTGTTGTCAGGTCATCGGCTAACCTCTTCTTGTATAGTATTTTCATAAGGTGTATGTATTTCTAGACTTGAGACGTTGGCTGGAGACAAAATTTGAAGATTGTACAGAGATGGATCATGTACAAGGGCAGTGTTGGGGTCTGAGTATCACAGCCCGGACCGAAAGCAAGTGGTAAAATCAGTGTAAAATCACTCAAAAGTTGGATTTAGGAAAAACCAAACTATTCATGAGCTGAAGCTGAATTTGGCAACTCGATATGTTCGAAATCCCCCGGGAGAGTTAATTTACTTTTAATGTCCAGGCATTTCGTTTGAAATGCCAAAATGAAATGTGTCATCTTGGAAATGCCAGAGCGTTTCTTTCTGACATCTTCTCAATGGAGCTTTTCAACTCCTTTGTTTTGAAACGGCGGTTTTCAGTTAGAAGGAAGAAAGGTTAAACAAGACGGTTAAATGACTTGACAGTGAATGAAGACATTTCATTTTGATTTACACAGAACGTGGAGGGGTGGCGCGCTCGTTTTTTCGTGTAGCTGATCCCCTTTCCCTTTCCTGAAATCTGTTTCCAATTGACCTCAGCCATTTTGATCCCTACTTTTAGCACAAATAGGAAATGTCAACGGATTAGAAAATAAAATCATTATTCCTCCTCTTCCAGTTCCTGGAAGGGCTTAGTTGGGAAATGATGAAAACCACTGATTGAAGACCCAAGAGGGAATACAGAACAGCCTTTCAGCATCTGATGCTCCTACATACAGGATTTCTTGGCGGGCTGAAGGAGGAAAATTGAAGCCAGTTCCTCACCTACTGGTAGGAGCAGCATCCCTGGCACGCTTCTCATAGCAGGGACACGGGCTGGGATCTCATCCGACTCATCCCTGGTGAGCTGGGGAGGACCTGTGGGAAGCTGTGCTTAATTTGATGCCAGTTGTCTTTGGTCCTTTTATCAGTGACGTGGACAAAGGAGTTGAGTGCAGGCTAACGAAGTTAACAAAGTATTGTCTAATACTAAAACAGGAAGAGCCACTGATTCCCTCGAGTGTAGAGAGCCCTACGGAGAAATCTTGATAGCTTAGGGCACTGGGCAGTCACCAACCATACGAAATCCAGCAGATTAGGCACGTGGGTTGGTGTTACCCGGGAGGGATGTCTGTGCTGGGGGACAGGGAGCCGGAGCGCGGCCCTGCAGAGAGGAGGTCTGTGGGGTTTGGCTGATGACAGGCTCTGTGTGCATCGACAGCATGTCAGCTGTGCCCTGGAATAAGGCATGTGAGGGGCTGCATGGAGCTCTGAGCTTCAGCCCTGGCTGGTTCCTTGGCTCTGCTCTCTGGAATCCCTTTACACGTCTCAGCTCTGCCATGGGCTGTGCCTGCCTTCTCTTGGCTTGCCTTTTTCCTCTGCGCTGTGTGGCCTGATGTGGGTTCCTTCCCATGGTAGTTGTGAGCCCCTGATAATTTCATTTAAGGTTCCGTAGGAAACTCTGCTGCCCTGGGGAGTGAGTAATGCTCAGCAGGAAGGAAACTGCTGAAATCCAAATAGAAATCCTAACAGGGTTGTGCAAAAATGACTCGGAAAGCACTGCTGGATTTCAAACCCAGAGCATGAAATCCTTTGCACCTTTTCTTTCCCCTGTCTAAGCCATTCTCTGGAAATCTGTGTTGAGGAGGCAGCGTTCTGTCCTGTTACCAGTCGCTGCAGAGGGGAGGTGTAGCTTGCAGAAATACTGAGGGCATCTTGGAGGCTGCAGCAGCGTGTGCATTGATGGATGGAGATCATAGAACCACAGAATCATTCAGGTCAGAGAGAACCTCCAAGATCCCCAAGCCCAACCTGTCCCACTGTGTCCATCACCATGTCCCCAGGTGCCACATCTCCACGGTTCTTAAGCACCTCCAGTGTCAGCTTTGTGTCACCTCTAGGGGAGCAGACAGAAGTTTGCTGGGTGATCCTGAGCATCATTCCGTCTCGTGGGAGTTATGGGATGCCAACCTGCTGCTCACCACAGCTTTGGGTAAGTTTTGGGAAGCCTCTGAGTGGTCCCAGCTGTGGTGAGATGTCTTCAACAAGGTCGAGCCCAAAGCTGAACATGGAGCTGGGGTGTTGGGGTTTGTCTTTGTGCATGACTCCTGCCTGGCTTCCTTCACCCTTTGCAGCATGCTCGACTTTGAGCTTTTGGGCTTTAAACTAGTGCAAACACAAGGTTTTTCAAAGCTTATTTAGCAGGGAGGCTGAGAGAAGGAAAGGCTGTAGGGCCCAATGCACAATTGATTCTCATTGCAGTGGCATCGACCAGTGTGGGATCTGGTTGATCCAGGTAGGTCACAATAAGGCTGGAACAAGAATAGATTGCCCAAGGAGGCTGTGGATGCCCCATCCCTGGAGGCATTCAAGAGGCTGGATGTGGCTCTGGGCAGCCTGGTCTGCTGTTTGGTGACGTGCACATAGGAGGGGGTTGGAACTGGATGAGCATCGTGGTCCTTTTCAACCCAGGCCATTCTATGATTTTATGATTCCAAGGCAGATCTTCACTTCTGTTCTTCTTTTGCTTTGTCTGCTGTGGCCCTAATTCTGCAGAAGAGATGGATTGTCTCTTTGGGGTCAGTAGGGATGCTCTGGGCATCGTGGCATGACGGGGCACGTGCACAGCCCCATGGTTTTAGGATGGTACATGGACTCCATGAGGCTCTGTGCATCTGCAGGTCCTGCATCCTGCCCCTCAGTTCCATTCTCCAACCACAGCAGCCCAGCATTGGTGCTGTAGTAGTGCCGGCTTGTCCAGCTGCACAACACCCCCATATTTTGGGTGCCTCTGATTTTCCTTTATGCAGTGCCTGCATGGCTGTGCAAAGCAGGGGACGTGCTACGGAGCGTTGGCTGTTTTCATGTGGGCACAGCGGGGTTTTGGAGTGGCGAGCTGTCTGTTATGGGAGACATCTGCAGAGCAGAAGATCTGAATTTCTCTGTGCTCTGATACAGGCAGGTATGAGCACGGGGAGAGCTGGTGGCGAGGCTCTGGCTCACACCCGTTATTTGTGGGATGCTTTTGTTATCTTTTGGAGATGAAAGGTGCCCCAGAAATGTAAACCACCGATGAGCCACGCTACTTCTAATGTAAAACAGTACTAATAAATGTTATCTTGCAGTCCCATTCATCCCTCGAGGTCACAGAGCACTCCATAAATTGCACTTCAGCCTGTCGCATTCCAGCTGCTGAGTGCACCGAGATGCAGCAGTGTGTGGGAACAGATGTAACGCTATCTTTGAGGCCACTGATTATGTTACCCACGGGTTAATGGGAGCGTTTCAGATTTCCCTCACTCCCCCTTGTCCCAGTCTGCATCAGTCTGGAGGCTGGGCTGTGCCTATCTGGC